GCCGATTCCGGAGTTTCTCTCTGTAGGCCTCGGAGAATGTCTGCTCCATATCTGGTCATCGGTTCCGTCACGGGATATGCGATCGCAATGTCGTTCAATGCTATGATAATTCAGTACTTCATGTGATGCCAGAACCAGAAGCGCTTCCATGGATACCAAATGATCTGTTTTTCACAACAAATAAAAGTTTGAGTTTTTGTGAATAACTCGTTGTTTGGATATTATTTTGGTTTTTAATTATTATTTCTTAAATTTATGATTAATTTTACAATTATAACAATTTTTATGCAATTAATACTTACTGTTAATAAAAGTTAGAAATAATTAGTAATTAAAACATGTGTTTTAAATAAATATAAATTATAAAAATAATTAATTATAAATATGTGTAAATTTGTTTACTTTTATATAAATGTAATAAAAGTTAAATTATTACATAAATTGGTGTTTAATTTAATTTTTAAAAATAGCTTAATTTTGATGTTTAAAACTTATGACAGAAAAGCACTTGAAATGCATTTAAAGTTTTACAGTATTTTTATTTCAAACATTATTTTTGTGAAATTCATTCAAAATCTCTTCACTTCTCAAATGTTTTCACTTTTTGTTTACGTTTTTGTGATTCAATTGTTGTTTAGTTTTGGACTTAATTTGTATTCAAATTATTTGTGAATTAGTTTTGAATGTGATTTTGAAGTCAATTATGGATTCAATTATTATTATTAATGATATTTTGGATGAATTATTGTCTGAAAACAATAGACTTTTACATGAAATCCAATGTTTAGATGAAATGAAAACACATTTAATAAAAATTCACTCAAAATATGAAACACTTATCACAGAGAGAAATCAAAACGAGTTTAAATTGATTTATTAGTTTTAATTAATATTTGTATTATAAAAACTAATTATAAATAATAAATTAGTTTTGAATCGTTTTTTAAAAAATGTCACAAAAACCAATAACTAGTCTTAACTAATAAACTAATTGTCACTAATTTTTTATGTATAAAAACAAGTTTTAATTGGGAAACGAGTTGTGAATAGTATTCCCAAATGTGTCACTCATTCCCATTAGAGGGCAGTCTATGAGAAGACGTTGTGCCCAAAAAACAATCATTTATTTGAAGCGCTTTCTCATTAAACACAGCATTCATTGTGCAGTCATTTGATTGTTAATTGTATTCCAATTTTAAGTGTGAAATCAATTAGTCAATTGTTGACAACAAGTATTCAGTTAAACATTTGTTCACTCATTGGACACATTGAATACAAGCTTCCAATGGTTCAAACATCTGATGGCATAACACAATGTATGCTACGATTGCGCAATCGTAGCATATAGTGCAACAATGGCTGATGTGTGAGACAACCGCACCTTCAATATTGTGGAGAAATTATTGTCACAATTAAAATTAATTCGGTATTTAAATGAATTCAAAGGTATGTATTGTGTATTACAAATAATTGGTTAAATTGTTTATGGTTTATAAACATATAATTGTAATTATAATAGAAACACGTGTTCATCTCATCTATTACATACATATAAGCCTTAGATATCAGTGATGTCGGGATTCAATTGAGAGATCTTTATGAATTGGATAATAACTGAAGACATATCCAAAGAGGTTATGTAGAAGACAATTGAATAAAGATTATTGTATGAAACTAAATGTAATAATTTATTTTAAAACAATGATTGCGCAATCATTGTTATATAAAATTTGAAATTGATATCACTGTATTAAATATTAATCTATTTTGTATTTGTAATATTAATATTCAAAAATGTAATTAAAGTTTATTTTGATTATGATTTATCTTAGAGTTGATTCAATTATTTATCAGTCTCAGCGGTTTTTTATATTAAACTAGGCTCTATTATACCTCATTCTTAACGGTGTTTTATATTAGACTAGGCTTGTAATTTTATCATTTGGGAATAGCTTTTAAATACAAGTCTAAAATGATATATCTGTCTATAGTAGTGTATTCACAACTCAAGGCTTGTGTGCAAAAACCGTTCAAATTGTTAATCTAGGATAAGGAATTCACAAGTTTTAAAGATATTTTTCGCTCAGTGTAGTTATGCGAAACTCAATTCACGACTCTTTGATGACAGACAAGAGGTGCCAGAGTTTAAAATGTGAGTCAATTGATCCGTTGATTACATGCTTGAAGTTTTATCCATTTGTTTCAATGTTTGTGTCTCGATGCCCATCGCGCTGACCATCGATGAGACAATACTGTGCGTCAATTCAGGCATTCCCGACAGTCAGACCAAAGTGATGGACCAACTGAAGCAAATCAGAGGCCCGCTCAAGACTCCATGGAAAGAGGCGCCACTCGTTTGGCAGGTATTGTCTTTATTAAGACCTAAATGTGAATATTTTCTTAAATGTTTTGTGTTTTACATTAGATGTTAACAAACAGACCGATGAAAGGATTGAAAAAGTTTGAAAAGTTAGAAAACATGGCGGGAATGGGTTTCGGCGAAGAGGCCACCAAATCATTCCTCAACTTCAATGGTCTCAAGAGAATCATTTGCGGTAATAATATAACAAACACAGGAATCGCTTGTTATTTCGGCGGTCGTGTCCTTACAATCCACACGAGCTCGAGGTCTAAAGAAGATAACAAATCGGTGGCTCTTCTTATCGCCGATCGTATGATAAGAATCATACGTTTGAACACCACTTCCGACAGAAACACATCCAAGAAATAGTTATATATCTATATCTGTATCTTATTTAGAGATTTAGTCTTTGGATGTATTATTGATTTGCAAATAAACACTAATTGATTGATAAAATCTTAAATTATTTCTATTCTTATAAAAAGTTAACAAATTTCTCAAATAACTGACTAAACGTTTAATTATTATTGTATTTAAAAAGTTATACTTTTATTTAAAGGGTTATGAAATTATGTAATAATAAATGATATTCTGTTTATTGTTAACAATCGCTGAAACTATTTGCGTGTTTTAAACTGTTGTTGAGTTATATTTGCTTTGATGTGATTTGTATGTGATTTAGATCTCAATAACAATAATAGTCTAATTTTAATGCCAACAATAATGCAGAGAAAAGATAGTATAAACAGTAGGACGAGAAGTAATGTCAAGAATATAATAGCAAATTGTCTTAACGTGAGTTGGGATCTGTACCACAATCTGATGAACCAATTCTTGTTAAACAACTGTTTCGTATATTCGGGACAATCAAAGAGATCGCTATTCAGGCGATGATTTTCGCACTAATTGTTCGCCGATCGTATGATAAGAATCATACGTTTGAACACCACTTCCGACAGAAACACATCCAAGAAATAGTTATATATCTATATCTGTATCTTATTTAGAGATTTAGTCTTTGGATGTATTATTGATTTGGAAATAAACACTAATTGACAGAATCTTAAATTATTTCTATTTTTATAAAAAGTTAAAAAAATTTCTCAAATAACTGACTAAACGTTTAATTATTATTGTATTTAAAAAGTTATACTTTTATTTAAAGGGTTATGAAATCATGTAATAATAAATGATATCTTGTTTATTGTTAACAATCGCTGAAACTATTTGCGTGTTTTAAACTGTTGTTGAGTTATGTTTGGTTTGTTAATTGCTTTGATGTGATTTGTATGTGATTTAGACCTCAATAACAATAATAGTCTGATTTTAATGCCGACAATAATGACGAGAAAAGAGAGTATAAACAGTAGTACGAGAAGTAATGTCAAGAATATAATAGCGAATTGTCTTAACGTGAGTTGGGATCTGTACCACAATCTGATGAACCAATTCTTGTTAAACAACTGTTTCGTATATTCGGGACAATCAAAGAGATCGCTATTCAGGCGATGATTTTCGCACTAATTGTTGGCCACAAATACAGATAAAAAACAATAGCTATGAATGCAAATGCCATAAATTAAATGGTATATGACTTACGCCTCGATTCACATCAACGATACGACAATTGCGGCCAACTTTGGTGTCGTCGTAAAAGACTAGATACGAGCCGTCATCGTAGGCAATGACAGCACAGGTTTCCGACAAATCAAATGGTATAGTATTGGCCACAATATGTCTCACTTCGGGCGCCAATGGTTTGTCAAAGTAATAGCCGACGAGACCGATGCCCACGTGCTTCTCATACACACCTATTATGGGATTGTTTGGCTGCGATATCACCAACAGATCCCCAGAAGGAATGTCTGTCCAGTTCTCCACATTTCCCGACTCTTCAAACACTTGATTCGCGAATTGAAGCCATTTGTTATCCTATTGTTTCGTAAATCAATGTTTAAAATTTGAAAACAAAACTTTATTTAAAACTTTTCTCCGACACAAACCTGAATGAAAAATGTCTTTCCAGTCATTGGCGTAGAGTTACCCGACATATAGAAAGCGGTCTCAATATTATTGTACAAATGTTGCCATTCATGTGATATAAGGCTCGCGTTTCCGACGACACCATCCAATCGGTCGTTGAGTTTCCAGAACCAGTAACTCATAAACATATAAGTACTGCCGTCTCGGGTCCGCACCGCTGTGTCCACCTCTCCGTCCACACACATCCAGATTGTCTGTCAAATAGTAATCAAATGGTATAGTATTGGCCACAATATGTCTCACTTCGGGCGCCAATGGTTTGTCAAAGTAATAGCCGACGAGACCGATGCCCACGTGCTTCTCATACACACCTATTATGGGATTGTTTGGCTGAGATATCACCAACAGATCCCCAGAAGGAATGTCTGTCCAGTTCTCCACATTTCCCGACTCTTCAAACACTTGATTTGTGAATTGAAACCATTTGTTGTCCTATTGTTTCGCAAATCAATGTTTAAACAAAACTTTATTTAAAACTTTTCTCCGACGCAAACCTGAATGAAAAATGTCTTTCCAGTCATTGGCGTAGAGTTACCCGACATATAGAAAGCGGTCTCAATATTATTGTACAAATGTTGCCATTCATGTGATATAAGGCTCGCGTTTCCGACCACACCATCCAATCGGTCGTTGAGTTTCCAGAACCAGTAACTCATAAACATATAAGTACTGCCGTCTCGGGTCCGCACCGCTGTGTCCACCTCTCCGTCCACACACATCCAGATTGTCTGTCAAATAGATATGTTTTGTTAGCTTTCAATTGGTTTTTGGTATTATTTGTTGAATATATCGCAAGAGTTTGAGATATGGTTTACCGGATCTATTGAAGAGTGGCTCAGATTTGTGGCAATTGTTAGCACAAAGCAAGTGATAGTGAATGCATTGCCTCTAAGCATGACATGGATATGAATGGCATGTAATTTATCAACGATTTAAACATATTTACAATTTAAACATTTATGTGATTTATATAATCAATTGTTAGCACATGTTATGTACTGTTCATTACATTAGACTTGACTGTGAAATAACCGTAAATAAATAAATTGTTTGAAAAAACCAATGAATGCCAATACAACTCAATACAAACTAAGTTATCAAACAATACTTTTAACCAACGATTGCCGAGACTATCAATACATGTGTTGATTGTATGCAATGTTTGTCACAAAAATTTAAACTAATTTAACATTAATTTTATATTCAATTATTCATTCATTTTATTATTCCATGCATTCATCAAAAGTTTTGATTCAAAACATGACATCATATGTGTTGTCATTTAATTACAACATATACTGTAATCCCCTTTAAGATCCCTCTAATAGTAATGCAATGGCAATACCCCTCACAAGTCAGACACTAATCCCCACCCCTTCTCAAGATTGTTGTTTCTGAGGACTTAAAGTCTATCGAAAACACGTGTTTTGAAAAGTGTTTGATTTTTAAATGTCTTCAAACGGGAAGTGATTAAAGACAACGAGTTGTCGAGTGTTGTGTCCGACGAAGACATGGATTCACGAAGAAGTCGTGTCTTGAATGACGATATCTTGGGATTGATTTGCAATGAATTAAATGTCAAACAATTGTTGAGATTAGAGTCGGTTTGCAATCAATTCAAGGAATGTATCGGAAGTGTGGACACAATTACTGGAAGTGCTCTCCAGAGGAAGAATGCATTGAAAATTGCATACAATGGCTATAATTGCCATCAAATGTATCATTCATTCAAAGACGGAGACATCAGTGAAGCCATTGTCTCAACGAAATATGATCTTAAATACGATTTGATTGAAAGCAAAGACACATTGAATTCAATACTCGGGAAGTGTTTGAATATAAAGTCTTTGTATTTAAGAAGTCCTGTAATCGATGGACAGATAATATCATTGATTGTGAGCCGATGTCCAAAACTCAAGCGCTTGTATTTGAATGACATTTATATCAAAGGATCAAATGAAGAGCTGATGAACGCATGGAAACCATTCACTGAGCGAAAAATATCTTTAAAACTTGTGAATTCCTTATCCTAGATTAACAATTTGAACGGTTTTTGCACACAAGCCTTGAGTTGTGAATACACTACTATAGACAGATATATCATTTTAGACTTGTATTTAAAAGCTATTCCCAAATGATAAAATTACAAGCCTAGTCTAATATAAAACACCGTTAAGAATGAGGTATAATAGAGCCTAGTTTATAACGAAATATGATCTTAAATACGATTTGATTGAAAGCAAAGACACATTGAATTCAATACTCGGGAAGTGTTTGAATATAAAGTCTTTGTATTTAAGAAGTCCTGTAATCGATGGACAGATAATATCACTGATTGTGAGCCGATGTCCAAAACTCAAGCGCTTGTATTTGAATGACATTTATATCAAAGGATCAAATGAAGAGCTGATGAACGCATGGAAACCATTATTGACTCAATTGTCTCATTTGAGTCTCGAGCGAAAATTTGATGACAATATACGACAACTTTTGCCACAATTATCATCACTTGAATCGATTGAATTGATTCACTTAAGAGATGATAATCGAGTGTTAGAATGGATTTCACCGCAAAATATTCGTTATCTTCAAATCAAAGATATGTTGAGAAATGGCTTTTCATTGGATGTTGTGATGAAGACATGTCCGCAATTGGAAGCGCTTGAGATAACTGAAATGTATTCAAACGAATCTATTCTAATGAATGAGACATTTCCCCGCATTTGCAATCATTTCCAACTCAAGAGCCTTCGACTGGAAGTGAAGAACTTGTCGACCGATGTCTTCAACAAAAACATCTCAAAACTCACTGAATTGAGACATTTGTCTCTTAAATTAGACTTTAATTTCGACACAAATGCCATGCAATCGATGCCTTCACTCAAAACATTGTCTTTATATGGAGTGAAGTTTTCATCTAAAATGTTGGCTAAATTGAGACAAATCTATCCAAATGTAAAGCATTTACGTCTGAATAACATTCAATTCCTTTGCGATTGCAATGAAAACAACAATTTGAGCGCTGATTGTCACCAATGTCTGCACAAATGCATGCAAATGGTGTCACAATTACCACAACTTAAGGCATTGAGTCTTGACTTAGATTTGAAAAAGTTATCCATTGAATCCAATGATCTGAAACTCTTCACTAAACTAAATGTCTTGTCTTTGAAACGTCGCGCAAATATCGATGAATTGTTTGAATTTATTAAACATTGTATTGAAAACAGTGTTTCGAAGAAGTATTTCAAACTTAAATTGACTCCAAATATTGAGGAAACACTTCTTAAACGCTTAAATGATATGTTTGTAACCATTCCTAACAATATTGTCATTAATTTCAATGAATGTAATCTTTTTTAAATTTAAAACTATATAAACTTTTGATATTTTACTTGTATTTCCATTTCAATAATTTTATGAATCCTTTTCTATTCAAATGTTTGTAAAATACATAAACGATATCAAAATTATAATTTTTATTTCATACAAAAAATACAAATAAATGAGAAACTAATGACAATTTAGACAATAAATTTAGTAACAAAACCAAACTTCTAATGCATTCATATTTGACTTTTGTTGGGTTTGTTTGATTGCTTGTTGTGATGACTACTTCTTGGGCGCCGACTCCTGATGGATGATAACGACTGAGTGCGGAGTGTCTTCGTTCGCGGCCGCCGTT